GTGTGTGTGTGTGTGTGTGTGTGTGTGTGTACGTATTTTTGTTACTTTTTCTGGTATACTCATCTGCTTCGTCAGGACCAGTAGTCTTTACCAGGACTAAAGCCCAGTCGTAGTACAGTGGAACCTCATTTTTCAGTCAGCTTTAGTACTAAAATGAGTTTAGGTTACAATTATCATGTGAAAAATTTTAGAATCACTCTACAATGCCACATTAGAGCCACTCCTAAGATCAAATGGGATGACTATATTATAATAATAAAGTTTTAGACAATATCAAGTCTGAGGACATCAGGACCACATTTATAGCCAAATGCCAGGAGAAGAGATGTTGGAAAGAAAGGAACTGTCTACAACCAATGGACATCCACTAGAAACACTTATATCTGTATTTATTGTGCAACATCTACCTGTATGTACAATGTCTCCTGGAAACTCTCTTATGAATTGGTGTGTTACACATAGTGGTGTTAGGCAATATACTACTGCATTTATTTGTGTATAATGCGAAAAACTTTACCCCAAAAATCCTCTGAGTTCGGGGAGTCATATTGTTCGGGAGTAAATTTTGACCGATTTATAAAAATGTACTACATTTCAGTATTTTCTCCTATATAATATAGTGTATGTTGAATATTGCTACGCATTTAAATAACAGTGGTTTTTTTTCACACTGGAGTTGGAGGAGGAAAAAAATTTTATATGTATTTTAATTGCGGTGCAAAAATGGAAAAACGATGTATGTCTGTTGCATGTTTGTGTGCCAAATAGTAGTTAAGCATAGTTATTCACTGCACAAATTTTAATTACTAACCAACACATCCACAGGTGAGTGTCCCCGCAAGGGCTGAAAAGTGCTGAAGTCTGTATAAAATTAGGGACAGCTTTATATAGCTGTGAGGATTAGATTGTTTTAGGCTTTTTAAGCTTTAAAAAGAGATTGCAATAAACGGTAATTAAAATATGGTGGTTACTTTGAAGTTGGGCCTCTTTTTAAAGTTATTTAGTCTGTTGGATTTGGGCTCGGGCTGGGTCAGGTCGAATTATTTTAAGCCTGATCGAAACCCTAATTGACACAGCAACTTTGTAGTTCATTTTAAAAAAATGAACCACAAAGAGGATCGCTAAGTTAATTCAGTTTGTTTTATGAGTGATACAAGGCATTCGTTCCTCATGCTGTATTCACCACAGCTGAATTCTTTTTTGCTCTCTGCTCGGGTCATTTCTGAACACGAACACGTGAGAAGAACCGGCCGGTAGTTTAGACTTCCACTCATTTTTGTAACTGTAAACCCAGACATTTCCCCTAAAACTAACCATTACTGGTGTATAGCTAACACTAACCTGAACCAAAACTTAATTCACACCATACCTCTAAACCTAACT